TCCGGCATACTTGCGTCGAATCCCGACATCTTGCACGATCAAATTCCGATCGCACGTGTCGAAAACCTTGTACTTGAATAGTTTCTTTTGGAACGTAAAAACTCATATTTCGTCATATCCCAACACAAGCCATCTACGACCGCCAGAATACTCGAACCGGAGTTAGCGGCCGCTGAAGCCCAGAACAATCAGCCCATCCTCCAATCTGTCCTTGAAGCCATCCATCCCTACTTTGTAAAGCTTCAGGACTCAGCTGATAAAATGAGCAACGCAGCCAGACGGATGGAACAAGAACGAGAAGAAGCAAGATTGCGAATGTCCGCTATCAACATGGGATAGGAACAACCACCTCCTTCTGGTCCAACCCTGGTGAACGGGACCAGACCAATCAGTGCCAACCCCATCCACCATCCAGCATCGACGTCTCCAGCAATATTCTGGGAAGAACCCCTGAGGCCGGCTTTCCACCAGGCCACAATCAAGAGCTACCAAGCGGACAGTTCTAAAGGCAATGCGGAGGAAATCCATGGAGTTTCTATTACAAGTTTAGATATTGATCGAGCAATGATGCCGGAGGGTCTCAAGAACGCCCAAATTAAAGGATTGTGGGACAGAGCAAGCGACATGGCGGCATTACCAGGTAAGTGCTCGCCAGGAGGGGGTGATAGTGAAAGTGGTGGAGCAGGTGAGGAAGTGATGAACCAGCTCCTGGAAACCTTTGGGTCGGACAGCACCAAGATCGCCCTGCTGGACACTGGCTATTGCCGAAAAAGTCACCACGGACTCGGCCTCAGCACCAGCAGCAACAAACTTCACGAAGCCTGACAGAAGATCCTCAAGAAAGAAGGAGACACCTTCAAGAACCAACGCTTCCAGTTCTTACACTACCTGGTCCGACTAGGCTATTCGACTGAATTTGTGGAAGATTACGTTGAACGAGGTCTGATGCCCCGCATCATCAAGGAAACCTATGTCAACTTCTTGGCTCTTCTCAACAAGATCCGCCACAAAGATATGGGATCGGATGAAGCCTGGGAAGACTCGGAGGCCTACGTCATACTCCAGGTCCACTCCGAGAATCTCCTGGACATCTGCACGAACTCCAACAGCAAGAAGATGTTGCTCCTCCAAAATTACATCTACCTACACGATGCCCGCAAGAAGGACTTTGGCAGCAACACCATCACGGAAAAGAATATTGGAAGGGTCGACAAGATGAATCAGAAGCTCCAAAGGGAGTTGGAATCTCTTTGGGTGGCCAAAGGTCGAGGAGGCCGGGAACCTACCAAGGACAAGGACAAGGAAGGAGATTCGACTCTCAAAAAGTGTTCTCAATGCAAGAGTCGCACCCTGCACACTGCCTTGAAACTTGAGCACAACAAGACTGTTTGCCCCCTGGCAGGGCATGCCGGCTCATGGGCCAAGGTCGCGGCGGAACAAGTTGCCACTGCCGTCTTAGCAAACAAAGAGCGCCCGGTTGGAGATATTATCAAGGAAGTCTCAGACAACTGGCCCAAGAAATCCTAAGCCGGGGGAGAAATCAGCAACCACCGGAGGTGCCACACCTGTGGTATACTCTGAAGCAAAATTCCGGAGGGACCGCTTGGTCTACTCTGGGGACAAATCCGAAGGGGTGGCCGAAAGGCAGTCTACTTTGGGGACAACCATTCCAATGGGACGGCCGAAAGGTCTCTACTTTGAAGACAATGCACACATCACACATCAAGCCAAATGAAGCAGTCATTCATCATCCGAACTGCCACCTACGATCAACACCCACCACCACCACCACACTTGTGAAAGCAATATCAATTTAATCCGTTATAGCTGACTGTTCTGTTTGTATTTTTGTTTAATCGGAAGGTGAGCAAACTCGTACAGATGGAGTCATGACAAGTGGAGCAACAGTGGGAGTAGAGATTCGTAAGGTAGCTGCAACAACTTCGTTAGGACTGGAAACCCTGGGCATAATCGGAGGTGGATGTGAAGTCATGCGTTATGCATGGCCCAAGATGAAGGTAACATTCTCCATCCAAGAAAATGGGGAGACTGTTCCAACAGACTTGAGAGACCCAACAGTGGTGCTCTATGGACCCCACCGTCAATGGGAAGGGCTCCTCGATACTCATCCGGTGGATCTTTTGGTAACCGAGAAAGGCCACTACACTTGATCAAGTGGCGGTCCCAATCGAGAACCATGGGAGGACATGGTGGATTTTGTGTGTTGGGATATGACGAAATATGAGTTTTTACGTTCCAAAAGAAACTATTCAAGTACAAGGTTTTCAACACGTACAATCGGACTTTGATCGTGATGTCGGGATTCGACGCAAGTATGCCGGACGCAAGTCTGTTGGACAATCTGTATCCACACAAAAAGGGAAAGACCCAATAGTGGAATATTGATGTTGTGTACAATGCAGTAGGGAATAGTGCAAGATGTCCCAAAGTACTGCATTCAACACAGAATTGTCGTAGAAGTCGAATCGAGTTCTGTAAACAAGGGATTTTCCAAGGGAAAATTGTTGAACTCACTTTTGTGATTGAATCATCAATTTAAGCCAAACATTAATCAAATAGGATCAATTTTACTCAAAGTATACCTAACATAGGAGAACTATTGTCGTGAAAGTGTTGTACAATCGATTACGAATTTAGATTGCAGAGAGTTTGTTCTGAGCGCTAAAGGCACTCACGATAGAGCACATTTTGCTTTATTATAACATTCAATCACAAAAGGCAACAAAACAAATTTACGTCAAGAACAGCACTGCCTTATCTACAAAGGAGTGAGTGATTCGTTGACTATGGGACATTCTTCATCCGGTGGAGGAAAAGGACGTGTGGCTCCTCAGAAAGTCAAGAGCAATTCGAGTTCTACAGTTGAAAACATCAACAAAAGATGAAAACGATGGAAAGGCAAGATCATCGTACAAAGATGCCGAAGAAAGAGTGATTGACTACATCCAAGCTTCTGGAATGAAATTTTCTTCAGACATGGTGAAATCAATTCGAGATGGAAAGTTGATCCACTTCAATGCGATCGCTCCAACATTGAATGCTCCAACTCAAACTGACGCTGTTGCAAGAGAAACAGAGATGGCTCAAAACAAGATTCTCTATTCTGCAAAGCTCGACGAGAACATGCGAAGATCAGCCTACTTTGAAACCAACAAGAGAACTGTCAAATCAAACATCATGCTGAAGTTTGTGACAAGGCCATGGATATCAAGCTTCAAGGTGAAGCCGATTTCACGACTACTCTTGAAGATCCAATCGAACTCTTGAAACCTATTGAACGATTCATGAAGAAGAGTGCTGATGCTGAGTATGACTTCTTGGATTTCTGGGAAGCAAATCAAAAGTTCTTTGCTATGAAGCAAGGAACAACCGAAAACTTGATGCATTTCAAGGAACGATTCTTGAGACAGGCTGAAGTCATGCAAGATCTATATGGCGTTGCCTGGTTCCGAAATTTTGCAGTCAAGACAAAAGCGTATGCTGCTATTGCTAGCACCGATACTACTGCTAGAGACAAGTTCAAGGATGATATCTTTGAAGCAGTTCTTGCAACAGGATTCCTGTGCAACTGTGATCAAACGAGAACAGCTCCTCTGATGCTGGATCTTCAGACAAACTACTGCAGGGAAGTGGATTATTATCCAAAGACGGTCAGCAAAGCACAAGATATGTTGAAGATTCACATGGATGTGATCAAGAATCCGGGAGTGAACCTTTACCAAGGAAAAGACCAGCTAAATAAAGGTAAAGGAAAAGGTAAACCGAAGGACGATAAGAAAAAGGCGGCATGTTATGTATGTGGCAAAGAGGACCATATGTCTCCAAAATGCCCAGACAGACTGCTACCAGAGAGTCAATGGAAACATCCGAAACACTATGTTGATTACGGGAAGAAGCTCAATCTCAATCAGATTGGAGCAACTGTCCCAACTACAGCTACAGTTCCTGGAACTTCTCCAGCGACAAGTGTGATCACAGGTGGTACATCGAGTGTAGCGGGAAGTGTTAACACACCTTTGCGACTTGCTGGTACTACAGGTACTCAAATGATGCAAGTTCCTTCGGGAATGCAGCTCATGTAGATACCAACTCAAGGTGGCGGCACTGTTACTGTCCCTTACTCAATGAATGCTAACGGTGAGATTGCGTTCAGTGGAATGCAACTCAGCCAACAAGGCTTCAGTGGTACTCAAGTGCGCCAAGGATTCGATGCAACTCAAGCTCAAACTCCGCAGGTTGTGAAGACTGGCTATGATGATACGTCAAATGTCTTTCACGATGCTATCAAGGGAAAGGATGAGAATGACAATGATGTCTATCTTATTCCATGTCCTGCTGGAACGACTAACGTTGAACTTCAATCCGACTGGCACTATGCTAGTAAAAGTGAAGACTTGCCAGATCGTGCTACTGAAGCAGATCAAGGTATGCAGTTTATTCAAAGCCGCAGAATCGAAAGAGATCCGTTTGGTTTGCTTGATCATGTCATCATGGACAGTGGTTGCACCAACACCACCATTTGTAATGGTGAACTCATGCATGGACTACGTCAAGCTGAGAAAGAGCTCGATATGCACACTACTAACGTGGGCAACAGAGTTCTCGATGAAGAAGGGTTTCTAGGAAGATTTCCGCCTCCAGTCTATTATGATGAAGACGGAATTGCCAATGTACTTGCTATGCGCGAGATGATCGCTGCGGGATACTGCATTACCATGGATACTGATTTTGACAATGCCTTTGTTGTGCATTGCGATGGAGACAGACAGATGCGATTTGTGAATCGTAAGGGTGTATTTGTGTTGGAGCAACTTGGAGCGGATGTCAAACCAGGTGCCAAAGAGACAAGTGCAATGTATTGTCACCAGTTAAGCAGCGTAAATAAACAACCCCATTTCGAACTTTCTTCAAAACAGAATGGATATGCTGGACTCGGGATGACTGCGAAGATGGCAACAGTTCGAAAGAACAAGGAAGGATTCACTCCAAGACAAGTCAAGGCTGCGATGGAAGCAAGAAGTGCGATGCACATACTCAATGCTCCAAGCACCAAAAGTCTGAAGTACGCGATCCGATCTGGTCTCATCAAGGACTGTCCTATCACTGAAGAAGCGATCAACCATGCCAAAGCAATCTTTGGACCTGACGCATCTACATTGACCTGACGCATCTACATTGAAAGGCAAGTCAACAAGACCAACTCCGAAGAAGACACACGATGACTTCTTCAGTCCACCAGAGGAATTGTACCAACACAATCGAACAATTACCGTCTGTATTGATCACATGGAGATCGGAGATGCTAAGTTTCTCACCTGCATTGATACCACTG